TTACACTTGTTTCAACATGAAAACATGCTAAAAGGAAAAATTTTCCCTTTTTGTAAAACTTTGTTTTTGAAATCTAAAAATATCAAAGCAATTCCACGCTCATCATGTGTTCGTCTCTGATAAAATTCGAACCACCTTGGTTGCTAGTACATCTAAATTCTAGCCTCATTCTGGTATTAAATTAGGACGCCCTCAACCACCAAATCTTTTTGAAAGCAGCGCTTGCAAACATAAATTTGTCATTGTCACAATGTATAAGATATTGCTTTCTTTTCTGTTATTTATGCACACAGCACTAAATGGTTTTTTAAAAACGTGATATCACTTTGTGTGGCAGCTTGCTTGGTGCGGCAAACCAGTTTATGTGGGAAGACTGTCAAGGCCCCCTCCAAAGGCAGCATAGAGGAACACCCCTGTTTTGACATGACTGGCAGTGTACAGGTCCTTGCCTGGTGTGCTCTTTGGTTGAGTCCATTTTGCTCAGAGGTGAATACAATCTAAGATAGACGAGCTCTATCAAAATACTGTCATATGCACTAAATGTGCATTACATTATCCCAATTTTGAATTTACAGACATACTTAGCTAGAAAAAACAAACATTTTGTTTATCGGATTTCCTTTTTAAAAACCTTGAGGCAAGCACAATTTGCATATGTTCTTTAAAATGTAGAAACGAACGATGGCTATTAAAGCTGTTGGAAAGGCACACAAACAATGCTTGGCCCAAATTTTAGACAGCATGGTCAATTTTTGCCACAAGTCAAAATAAAAACAGAGACGGTCTGATAAACGAGGATTTTTTTTGTCTGGCCAAACAGTTGCAATCAAATTAAAATCTGCCATAGCAAGTAATTTGGGTTGTTTTAATGTATAACTAAATGTGCAACCAATCAAAGTGACAAGGCCCTTTTTAGTAATGTACACTTTAATTGGTTGACAAACATTTGACGTAGTTATAGGCAATATACACCAGTGGGTGAATATCCAATAAGATGAAAAGTACCAAATTTTTCTCAGCACTGATAATACATACGATATATGAAATCAGACTCTAGCAAGACCATATTTGGAAGTGTGAAGTTATTTCTAATTGGCTGAAAATACATAGCAGAAATTATACCATATATGGGAATGCCAGGATATTTTGAAATAGTAAAACAGATTTTTATGACAGATTTGATTGAAATATGTTTTCAAAGCAAGTTTTCTTACCATTTAATGCAATGTTTTTAAATAGAATATTGTTGATATGTTTGTAATTGTCAAACAACCAATCAGATTCTCCAATCAGATTCAAATTGAAATTCCCCAAATCATTTCATATAAGTAATGAGATTACTAGTCAGCTCAAACAACCAGTAGGATTTACCAGGTTATTTGAAACAACCAATGAGATTTTCCAAGTCAGTTTAAACAACCAATGAGATTCATCAGGTCAATTCAAACAACCAATGAGATTCATTAATCAGTTCAAACAACCAATGAGATTCATCAGGTCAGTTCAAACAATCAATGAGATTTATTAATCAGTTCAAAAAACCAATGAGATTCATCAGGTCAATTCAAACAACCAATGAGATTCATTAATCAGTTCAAACAACCAATGAGATTCATCAGGTCAATTCAAACAACCAATGAGATTCATTAATCAGTTCAAAAAACCAATGAGATTCATCAGGTCAATTCAAACAACCAATGAGATTCATTAATCAGTTCAAACAACCAATGAGATTCATCAGGTCAATTCAAACAACCAATGAGATTTATTAATCAGTTCAAACAACCAATGAGATTCATCAGGTCAGTTCAAACAACCAATGAGATTTATTAATCAGTTCAAACAACCAATGAGATTCATCAGGTCAATTCAAACAACCAATGAGATTCATTAATCAGTTCAAAACCCAATGAGATTCATCAGGTCAGTTCAAACAATCAATGAGATTCACTTATCAGTTCAAACAACCAATGAGATTCACAGTTCAGGTGTGCACAAGTTTTTACAACAAAATTTTAGATAAAGATATTTTACAGATACTCATTGTCAGCTTTAAGCACGCTCAGTCCATTCTTACTATTATGTTTTGTGGTTATAAGTCAATGCTATTGGGATGTCATATAATTAACCCCTCCCCTCTCAAAAAGAGCAGCCACACTTTTCTTCCAGTGCTGTCAGAATAATAAGAACAACTTGAACCTTTTCACCACCAGACTTTCTTTGCCAAATTTTTCTGCACTTTTTCTTTTTATTCTTCTATATGCTCAAAAATGAGCCCTGATTTTTGAGCCAACAGAAAAAATTTGAGGCAATTTTCGGTTTTTACTCAAAAGATTTGGCTACTTTTGTTCTAATCTTCTGAAGGAAAGTGCAGACTATAAATGGGACTATTTTGTTAATTTGTGATGAAAAGAGGGAACTGGTGGTGAAATAATTAATACTTTGGTGGGTGTAGAAAATGTACCGGTACTTCATGTTTTATTTATGCGGTACTATAATTGTCACTGTGTTATGTATGGCGGCTTACCGCACTATAGGTATCAATGCGTTAATTATAGTGGAGATGTGCTTTCAATAGACAATATATTGTCATAATTTTATTGTATATTCATAAAGTATTTATGTTTCGTTCTGTGATCATTTTATTGTTACTTTGGATATAATCTGCTTTGATTTAATTCGTTGTTTTGTTCTCCTTGAGTCCAAGAATTAATACTGAGGTTTTAAAATACCGCCCGCTGAAAGTCTTCGTGGGTAGTTAATATGAATAGGGAAAAAGCGGCGTCAGCTGGCAATGTGTTGACAGTGGGAGGTCATTACGTTAAGTCATGCTTGACATGAATCCCATCACAGCCAGTTGAAGTACAAGTGATAATAAAATAAATGGGACTGATATTTACTTTATCGAGGCGGCCATCTTGAATCACATTAAAAATAAGTTCACGCTGGAATTAAGATAGCCATCACATTTAGTGAATATTGGTAAATTGGTCACATTTATTTTATTATTATTAGTACACACATGTGTAAAATACAGTGAAATACACCACCGAAATTCAAGACTACACTATTGTGTCTGGTGAAAACTGCAGTCGAGGGATAATGACGTTGATTTCTCTGTGATTTTATAAAAGTACATTTTATCATATTTCGCAGTTTCCACCAATGATCGTCCTTTGTTGAGGAAATGTACGCCTGCTATCAAATCTATCCCATAATACACTGTGTTGGAGTAAAATTTTGTAATTTGATAATGAAGGGTATACATACATTTGTCAAATTGATAATAAATAAAGTGTGTTTTTTTGTATTCATTGTGGATGAAAACGATTGGAAAAAACAAAAACAAGAATGTTATTTGAGTGTTTCAATCTATGTTGTCGTAGTAACTGCACTGTGAAATGTTAAAAACATGTAGCTGTAGTATCTATTTGTCTGTAGGTAATTCTCTGTATTTCTTTATTTATTTATTTCATAAATATATAGTACGCACAACTTTGGTTGTCTAAAATAACTGTTAGTTTATTTTACTTTTTTGGGGTTCAGCACAATTCATAGAAGTATTGTAACCAGCCTAGGTGTAATATGAATATGTAAAATAGGCGATATATATTGCACTTTATTTATTTATGTTGCATTGCTATTATGATGTACATAATAAACCGAGTAAATGCATCATGTTCGTTGGTTTAGCGTCTTCTCATTTATATTGCCAATCCATACGGGTGTTGTCACTTGCTTGTTGGTAACTGATGGAACTCTTCCTGAACGCATCCCCAGATGAATTCAGGTACTACTGTAGAATACTTTATTTTCGCTTGGAATTAATTTTCGGTATTTTCGCTCTGAAGGGATGATTCAGTGAAAATAAGATCCAGCGAATATACATTTTTTTTCCTATGTGTTACATTCAACTTGTCAAAAATGAGTGAAAATAAATTCCATACAAAACACTTAAAAAGTGTTTTCAGCAAAAATTAATTCCAGCTAATATCAAGTATTTTACAGTATGTCTGTGTTTCACTTGTTTTGAAGAAGACAAGTATACCATGGAGAAATGGCACAAGTATATGCATGTTACCAATAGCACGTAAATATACATCGTTTGAACCACACAGTTTTTCTAAAACCGGCCATTTATAATGCTCACAATTTTAAGGTTAAGGCTTGTGCTCAATAAATGGTCCTTGGCTGGCGAGGATGATAAATATACTGTATCTGTACTGTTGTATTAGAAACACGCATAAACTAAAAAAATGTATTTATGGTACTCTGAATTGTCAAAATTCGCCCCCTCAAAAATTTTTTTTGTAAATAGCGTTACAGAGGGTCTATATTTCAAAATTCTAAAGGGGGAGCATGCCCCTGAGTTGAAGGTTGGTGAGCAGATACCCCCCCCCCCCCAATGCAAAATTCCGTGCCGCCGCCGCCTCTGTAATCTGTTTCGAGCCTTTTTTGTGTTCAACCCCAGGTAGGATTTGAACTTGGATATACTGATCATTAGTCTGATGCAACGACCACTATGCTACTATAGCGACAACATTATTCTTTCCTGATTGGCCGTTTTAAACTTTCAACAAAGTCATAAATTATCCAAAATAGTTTTTTTTTTTTTTTTTTTTTTAATTGTGAACCTCATTTGTATGCATTATGCTCATTTTCCTATTAAAAATATTGATCATATTCAGGCACTCTCGCTAAATCAAACAAGCCTCGTCACTGTTTCAAATACCAGTACAAGGAGTAACTTTCCTACATGAGCGCCCTCAATCGAGTTATTTCACTGTGCTTTCCTTTTTTATAAAATAAGTTTATTTATTAACCAAGCACTGAAACGTTGGATGTGAAGGTCGAATATTTCGTCATGATTTTTCATTCGACTAACATGAAATAAAAATCCGTGGGAACATGATAACAAAAACAAGTAATGCGGAAGTAAATACCTTGTTGTATGGATGACGTCATCTATTTAGCATTTAGCCGCCATATTGAAATTGACAGCAGATCAGCTGAGACCCGTGTCTGTGTGAGCCGAGGAAAAAATTATTACCTGGCTACGACTGAATTACCACGATATTCCATTATCTTAGAGACAATTATATAAAGGTAAGATCCACCATTTTTTGCTATAATATGTCAAATCGGCGATGTATCTAGATCGCATGCACCGTTTCATTTGATCCCCTTTGTGTGTCCTCGACTGTGACATGTCCGACTTCTCCAACTGAACTGGATCAGTCTAGGCGACTGTTTTTTTCTCTTTTTCAGAATATAATTGTTTTAAATTTGATATCGTTTATCGCGCTGTCCACACTATAAAATCAATATGCGCTTGATGTGTCTGCTATGTAAAATAACATTGATCGTGTTCGCGCAACACAACCAGACACGTGACTTCGCCTGGCAGACAGATTACGGTTAATAAGGTCAACGCCCTCTCACGTGTCCAAACTCAAAACATTTCGGAAAACATTTAATAACTGCAAGCGAAATTATACTGACAATATACTGTTAAAAATAAGTTAATAACTCGCATTCCTAAACGCACATAGTTTTGAGTACAATAGACATTTTTCAATTCATCAATTAAAACTTAATATTAAATAATATTATATAATCATTGTCCAATTAAGATATATTGTTTTTAATTTTGTACATGATAATTAATTATTGTGTATTGTAAACTGTTTTAATTAAAGCATATTTTTTTCAAATCAGTAAACATTTTGTAGCAGTGGAGTTTCTATGGTGCTGACGATTTATGCAAAATTTCAAATTATGGAAATTTCTAGCAGCGAAAATTAATCGGTTTACAGTGTGAATGCTGTAACCAATTTGATTGCTGTTTTACTGGAGTCAATAAAAACGTGAAAGAACATAATTCTTGAATGCCCACTGTTTTACAACTCATGATCTTCTCTTGCAATGAGATTATAACGATGATTTACTGTTGTGTTTTTTTTATTGTCGTCATTTCTTCTTTTTTTATGTTTTGCAAAAGTGTGCTATATCAATTTTTTTAGAAGGAGCAGTGTGAACTGAGCACTGAACCTTAACTGTTTTGTTTACACGAGAAATTTAATCATATTTTTACAGAAAAAGTGGTAAAAAAGGTTGACTCCCCCATCTCCCACTATTCTGTACATCCATGGGCAGGTAAATCCAGTTGTACATCTAAAGATGATACTTTCTGCATCATATCCTGAAAAAAAAAAGTCAAATATTTTTGTTGTTTTTTAACATGTAAATTATTGATTTTTTAGTAGACTCCAGTTTGAGCTCCACAATTAGAGAGAGGTTGCTATGCAGTACTTGACACATAGTTATGGCCTTGAACACTCTACTATTGATAATTCTGCTGTATTGAATTGACATCTCTGTTGCCAGGCGACATAAATCACCCTCATTACTAATAGGTGGCTATCAGTTTCTTGTTGATGTTTCTTTAGGTGAATGACCTGTTGGCCAATCACCTTTCACTGAAATAACAGGACCCCCCATCCCAGTTGAAAAAACTTTTAGCCAAAACTGAACATCAACTCAATGTTTTGTATTTAGCCAATTTTGGGGGTTTCAGCCACTTATCTATAATTTTATTCTTTGCTGAATTGGTGAATGGGTTGAGGGAACTCTTCATAAGGTAGTCAAAAGAATGTTCTATTTTGTAATGGTAATGAATCAGTGAGGTCATTGACCTACTGATGAAACAGGAAATAAGTTCATCTTCAGGGTATTAGGGAGTCCTACGATCTGAAGAGTTATCATTAATATATTTCCAAATTACCATGTTATTTATTGATTGTTTTAAAATGGTGGAAAAAAATTGGAAAATATTTGTTACAGAAAAAATATCTATCCTCATTCCAGTCAACCACCAATGATTAATAACTTAATAGTAATAATAATAGTTTATTACGCAACTGTAATCTGCTGTGGATACAGTAAGGTAAAAATAGTGTAAAATAAAGCAACTAAAAATTAATAAGTATTCAAAACATTGCATATTAATTAATAAATTAATAATATTCAAACATTCACTTATGCTCACACAGATAGTTGTTCAGAGATACTTTTATAATGCTACATTGCTTGGAAAGTCTTATTTATTGTATACATTGTTGATTTATGAATATAATAATGTTTTATTGTTATTTTGTGAAATATTTTTGTGCCAGCCATGCCATAGCACCTTGATAAATATAACATAAGTTTATTCTATAAAAATTAACGTAACAAAGACTGTCAGCCAAGTTAAGTAACTATTAGTGATCAATGTATTTGTATGAGGTGGTATGATTTACTGTAAAATACTTTATTTTAGCTGGAATTAATTTTCGCTGAAAAGACTTTTTGAGTGTTTTGTATGGAATTTATTTTCACTGACTTTTGGTTAGTTGAATGCAAAATAAGAGAGAAAAAGTATATTCACTGGATTTTATTTTCATTGAATCGCCCCTTAAGCGAAAATTAATTCCAAGCGAAAATAGTCTTTCACAGTATTTGTTTATTCTGCACATTGCTGTATCACGTCCACAGGCTGACACCGCCTTTCACCGAACCCATCCATCAGTTTTCGTTTCATTTTCTGTATTAAATTAACGTAAACAGGATGTTTTCTCTTCATTTACTGTGTGCATGCCGTGTCATTCGAAGGTCTTTTTCACTGTTCATTAGCATCGACCACCTTTTGTATTTGTAGAAGCGTTCATTCTGAAGTCAAAAAGTAGGTGAAATGTTCAGGCCTTTCAAGCTATTTTGCATATGAATGAATACAATTAGCATACTGACTTTTCTGTATCTTGACATATTGTGAATTTTCTAATTTTTCAAAATGTTTGAACTGCCATCCTGCAAAAGTTTGAAGAGTCCGGAATGCCAGGATAGTTCTTGCCATAGTTTTGTTTTTCTATAATTCTATAATTTTTAACGAAAAAGACACAAGTTTCCATTGTGTACAGATATATAAAATAAAACTATTAGGTATGAATTGATTTATGCAAGGTCGTTGACATCAATCAATTTCTTCACTTTTTTTTGTTCACATTGGACATATAGTGCATGACGAAAACAATTCAGTCACTGAACACAAACGTTCTCACAGGTCAAAACATTTTTCGTTGCCATTTCGGGCTATAGTATAGTATAGTATATTTTATTTGACACTAAATAATATATTTTGTTACATTATCTGTGATCAAAAGACATTAAATATAATACACACAAGTACACACACGAGACAAAAGAAAATACATAAAAGTCTTAGTAAAATTACTTATGCTGTCAATACATTTGCTAGCACTATTGGCAATGAACCCATCTCTAAATATCTCTAAATACTACAAGCAGGAAAAAAGGAGTATACGTTTCTCTTGATATTATTGCAAAATATGCACGCTGCCTGCATTCAGGGACGCAGCGACCTTTGTTGCGTAATGTTCAATTTGATCGTTATATCGTGTTCGTGTATACTTTCCGCACCTCGTATTATTTCATTAAGATTTTAAAAGTGCTTTGGTTGTTGTGCAGATTATATGAAAGTTCGTGTATACAACTCAAACATGCATGGGATCCAACTCAAACTGTAAAAAAAATTTAATAAAAATTTTAGACAGCAGCAACTACACTTGTGATATTTGAAACTAGATACATGTACACGATTGTGAATGTCGTTTTCCAAGGCTTTGAAAGAAAGGAGACATAATATCAAAGTACTTAATGGTGTATCACAATTCCATTCATGGCCTTTTGCACAGGTGGTGTCAGCATTTGTTTTTTTAATTGATATTTACCTACTCACATGACCATGAAACTAACTCAGTAAATGTACTTCTTATTTATCATGTGTGTATTTACACATGGTCTAATTATAGAACTCTTGACACTTACATCATTACAATGTTCACTTAAAAGTTAAAATTTTTCTTTTTTCTGGTTTCATGCAATTTCTGTAGGTAATCGACTGATGTGAACTTTGGTGATTATAGGGATGTTTGATGTTTGTGAAATGTATGGTTCACTCACCCGTGTTAGGCATTTTAAGTTCTGGGAGGATAAGGGGGTATGAGTATGTTTTAGAAACATTCTCACTTTACTAGAGGTTTCTGTTTCTGTTTATTGCGAAGTCAATAAAGCAAACTAAATTGCCTTCACTGCCACTGTGAAAAAATGTAGAGGAATTGACAATTTAATAAGTAAAAGATATGTGGCCTTAATTACAAATGGGATCTCTTCTTGTACATGTATAAATATACATATACCGGGGTTAATACGCATATAATATTTTGGGGCCAAGGAAACTGAATATGTGGTTAACACAATTCATACTTGTACCCATAGATAATTGTATAGGTTTACATTCACCAAATAAATTGTACTTTGCGCTCTAGCCATCTGATTACTGATCACATTATTAAAAAGCATTGTTGGTTACCCATCATGCAAAGATACAATATCAATTTTTTTCTATCGTGTACTTGTTTTGTCACTCACTGAACTTGTGCATATTTACCTTCAAGTTAATCTCATTATGAACAATACAGATCCTTAAATGTCCATTGCATTTCCCAGTACAAATACATAAAAAATAAACTTTTTGGATATGAATTTCAACAGAAGCCGAATAATGACATGTGGGATTACTTCCTTCCCATCTTGCCTCCTGAAAGATTTTAATGAGTTTCCTCATTTGCATATTCCAGAGAACAGGATGAATAACCACAAATATGTATTGTATAAAGTATTTCATCCCCTCAAAGCTAATGCTGATCTCCCTATGTTTACTAATGGTTTGTCCCAACCATAATCTGAACTCTAGGCTTCCATGGTAGTAATATCGTTATTTAATTTAATTATGAATGGTAATTAAATTATCTTAATTTTAAATGTATGCTGACTTGTTTATGCTTACATGCATGCATGTCAGTGATGGCCTATTATTTTGTGATTACATGTAAAACAATATGAGACAGGAATCAGTATTTACAAAATGCATTTTCATTATTTATATTTAGTTAATTTCAGAGATAGACTCTGACATCTTGAGGTACAGATAATCCGTGACCTTGAGAAGGTGCACGACCTTGATACATGTACCCATATTGGCAATC